TTATGTAAACTTTAAACATTTCAATTAAGTTTGGTGCTTAACCATTAATTAATGTTTAATGACTTCTTAATCAATAGCATTTTTTTTCTTAATATTTTTTTTAATATAAGCTAAATATATGTTTTAATGTGTATTACTTTTGCATTTATTTTATAATTATAAATTATAAATTTTGTGAGATCCTATGTCGATCGTAGAGTGGAGCGAATCCTTATTATAAAAGTATGAAAACCTCTCACTAGACGCGTTTTAAAATCTTGAAGTTAACGACGATACATAACGGGTTAAAATGGACAATATATACTAGCAGGGAGCTTCAATTGTTACAAATGATATCAGAGGTAGACATTAGACGATGTGCTAGTGAAGACGCTGAGCTCCTAAGGAGGTGGATTGTGAGATCCCAATTGAAGAGAGAAACGAAAGATTTCTTATAAAAATATGAAAATCTCTCCTTAATATATACCTTTTTAAACAAAAATTTATTTTTAGTAAACATGTTTTTAACTGTGAGACTGAAGATGAAATAAAAACAAAAATATCTATTAGCAATGGATTTTGGTGGTTACAAATTTAGTCTTTAAATTTAAAAAAAAATATTATATACCGAATTGAAAGTTTATGGTTATATTAAATATATTTAGTAAACTCAAAATTCAAAATTTATGAATTTATTAAATAATAAAGAAACAAAAAAATTTATAGGGTAAACTTGTAAAGGTCGACTTACACGACAACGTTGAATAATGTTGACTTTCTTCTTATTCTATAAACAATTACAGCCGTTGGATCAACCGAGCTCAACAGGATCATATTATTAATGTCCGTAGCGAATTAGAACTTTGGAAAACCGGAATAAGAGGATAGTTTCGAAGCTTCCCTCGCGGTGGTTGAGCTCGGCAAAGTTGGAAATCCACTGTACACAAAAAAAAAAGAAGAGAAAATCGGATCCTTACCGGACCCGACCCGCCGTAGTTTTCAGGTCGACGGCGTTGTTCCTTCTCGGATTACAGCTTCAGAATCGTCCAACGTCTATCTACGACTACGGCCAAGATCTCACGTTCTCCATCAATGTTCTGTAATTCCTTTCAATCCTCTCTCTTTTCTCTACTTGAACTGTCTTCCAGGGTTTAGTTTTATGCTGTCATTCTCTTTCCGGGATGCATTTTGAACTTCCTTTTGTGTACAATTGCATTGCGGGAAGGGGAAAGTTGATAGACGAGAGATACAAGTGATGTTTTCGTGTTAAAAATTGGGTAATTCGAGGATTTGTGTTGTTTGTCCGTTCTCACCTGAAGGATAAGATTCAAGATTGTTGTTGAGTTTTGATTTCTGGTAATCTTCAATGGTGGATTTGCTTGGAACTTATGTGATCAGGGCGCAGGAAGGAAATCCCTAATTTAATGTTTCAGGAACCTGAGATACACAGAAAACGATTTGTTACCTGGTAGTTTCTTGTAGATTCTCGTATTCTCTGAATCATTTTGTTTCTCTTGACATAAAGTTTCTTCCTAATTTGTAGAAACGAGTTTCTTTTGTTTACTTTATGGCATTGAAACCTGATTAGTTTGTGAGCCGATGGAGACCTGGAATTGAGAATGGTTGAAAATCGGAGTTCTTCATTGTACATTATCCTAATAGATTAATTTCGTTAATATAATTGTTAAGAACTGACTCTCTATACTTGTTTGATCTCTGCTAGCTGCTAGCTTGATTTTTACTTTACTGAAAAATTAGAGCCTAATCTGTTTATTGTCTTCCTGATCTGTCTCTGCCTACCTCAGAATCTTAAGCCATTTAGTTTTGTAATTGTTCATATGCTGATTAAGAAACGGTTAATTTTTGTTAGGGGCTGAATGAGTTATGGAAGAACCCTCTCTTACCAGTGACCAATCGCCTCAGGTGGAACACAGTGGCATTCATAAAGATGGAAACGAAGATGCTCGAATTTCGGAGTTAGATGGCCATCATGGAAGGAAGGAATTTGTGGCACCTGCTGTTGGAATGGAATTTGAGTCTTATGAGGATGCTTACAATTACTATAATTGTTATGCTAAGGAAGTTGGTTTTCGTGTTAGAGTGAAGAATTCATGGTTTAAGCGGAATAGTCGGGAAAAGTACGGTGCGGTACTTTGTTGCAGTAGCCAAGGTTTCAAAAGAATTAAAGATGTTAACCGATTAAGAAAGGATACCAGAACAGGTTGTCCTGCAATGATAAGGATGAGGCTTATGGACTCACAAAGATGGAGGGTTCTTGAAGTTTCACTTGAGCATAACCATTTATTAGGTTCTAAGATTTACAAATCGATGAAGAAGATGAACGGTGGAGCTAAAAGGAAGATACAGTTGAGCTCTGATGCAGAAGATCGAACTATCAATTTGTATCGAGCACTTGTGATCGATGCTGGTGGTAGTGTGGCTACAGATACCAGTGCCAAAAAAGTTAGGATTATTCCTGATCATCGAAATCATTTGAACCTTAAAAAAGGTGATTCGCAAGCCATTTATAACTACCTATGTCGCATGCAGTTAACTAACCCGAACTTCTATTACTCGATGGATCTCAATGACGACGGGCGCCTGCGTAATATGATTTGGGTCGATGCTCGATCAAGAGCTGCGTGTGCTTTTTTTGGTGATGTCATTTGCTTTGACAACTCATATTTGTCTAATAAATATGAGATTCCCCTTGTGGCATTTGTTGGAATAAATCACCACGGTCAGTCAGTGCTGCTTGGTTGTGGCCTCTTGGCTGGTGAGACAACAGAGTCTTATACTTGGTTATTTAGAGCTTGGCTGTCGTGTATGTCGGGCCGCTCTCCTCAAACGATTATTACAGATAGGTGCAGGCATTTGCAAGCTGCGATTACTGAGGTATTGCCGAAGTCTCAACATCGCTTTGGCTTGTCGTATATCATGAAGAAAGTGCCCGAGAAGCTTGGAGGATTGAGGAACTATGATGCCATCAAGAAGGCATTTAATAAAGCAGTTTACGAAACTCTGAAAGTGATTGAATTTGACTCTGCTTGGGGATTCATGATCCAACGATTTGGAATTGGCGATCACGAATGGCTTAGATCGCTATTCGAAGACCGAGGCCAGTGGGCTCCTGTTTATTTGAAAGACACGTTTTTTGCTGGTATGTCTGCCATGGGTCGAGGGGAGAAACTAAATCCTTTCTTTGATAAGTATGTTCACAAACAAACCCCATTGAAAGAATTTCTCGACAAGTATGAATTAGCTTTACAAAAGAAGCACAAGGAAGAGGCCTCAGCTGATATAGAATCAAGAAACTCTTCCCCCACTTTAAAAACAAGATGTTCTTTTGAGTTGCAGCTCTCAAAAGTGTTTACAAGAGAAATATTCACAAAATTCCAGTTTGAAGTTGAAGAAATGTATTCATGCTTCAGCACGACACAGTTCCAAGTCGATGGTCCGTTGGTCATATTCTTGGTGAAGGAACGCATAGTGAGCGAGGGAAACCGGAGGGAAATTCGAGAATACGAGGTTCTTTACAACCGAACCGCAGGCGAGGTTCGTTGTATATGCAGTTGCTTTAACTTCTATGGATATCTATGTCGACATGCGTTATGTGTACTTAATTTCAACGGGGTCGAGGAGATTCCTTCTAGATACGTGTTATCCCGATGGAAAAAGGATTATAAGAGATTGTATGTTCCAGATCACGAAACCGATATTGTCGATGGTTCCGAGCGCGTGCGATGGTTCAATCAATTGTACAAAAGTGCCTTACAAGTTGTAGAAGAAGGGGTGATCTCTCTTGACCACTACAAGGCTGCATTGCAAGCCTTTGAGGAATCATTAAGTAGGGTTCATGAAACAGTAAGAGAAGAGAAGCATGAGTAAACTCCGACTGAAGCTCGATCGAAACGACATGCTCGTCTAGATAGAAATAGTTGTTGCTATACCATTGATACGGAATTTTTACTGTGAATCAGTGTAAAGTCTTCTTCACTCTTTTCTGAATATTTTGCCTGTTTATGTCCTCTACGAACTTGGAGGGGTATTGAAAGTAAGAAGAATGGGCTGAGGTTTAAAATAAAGGGGGGTTGCTGATGAGAATGGAAGCTTTAATGTTCCCGTAGAGGTTCCAATTTTAATATTTGAGATATGAATATGAAGAAAAGAATACATGTCAGCTTGTTTTATGAATTGAAACATTTTATAGCATAGTTCAATGATGAATTTTTCGATTATAAATCGAAGATTTGAATCTGCGTTCTTCGTCATGTCATGAAACTTAGAAATTATTCGAAAAAAATTATTTTATTAGTGTGTTATATTTATTAACTTAAAAATAAAATATATCAATAAGTTAAATTTAATTTTAAAATGAAAAAAATTAGCTCCACGTTTTTATGATGGAATAATTTAAAATAGAGTTTTAAGAGTATACGGCGGCGTTTAAATTATTTATAAAATTAAGTTTGAGACCCTATTTAAAAAAATAAAATAAGAATTTAAATATCCTTTTTAATCTTTTTAAAATTTGTTTGATTTTAATTTATGTAATTTTTAGAGGATTTAAATTTGGTATATATACTTTCAATAAAATTTTAAAATAGCTCATATTTTTTGTTTATGGTTAATTTTTTCTATCAATAAATTCTAGAAATTTGTTCACATAAAATAATTTATTGCATGAAAATTATTACCATTATTTGATAATTTTTGGTAAAGTTAACTTAAAAATACTAAATTTAAAATTTATTAAAAAAATAGCTGAAATACACTTTTATTTTTTAAAAAATTATATTTTCATACAAAAAAAAAAAAAGAAAAAAAGAAAAAAGAAACTTTCAAAATGTCTATTTTTTATTTTATTTTATTTTATTTTTATCGAATTTTCGTATTTTCCTTTTTAAAAATGTTTACTAGTTTTGAAACTTGGACTTTTAAATACTTTCTAATTAAAAAATGAGAAAAATTGAGGGAAAAAAAGAAAAAGAAAAAAAAGAAAAAAAAAAGGTCTTTTTATAATGGGCGGGATTCATAAGAAAGAGGGGAAAGAGACGAAGCGGGAAGCAAAGTGAAAACCCGCTGAATTTCGGTCACTTCGGCGCGAATTTTGCAGAGCTCCTAGTCCTTCTCCTCAAGCTCGCGTCTCGATTCCTTTACCAGAGAAGTTACTTACTATCGCCATAGCCTCTGCTCTCAAGGTACGTTCTCTTCTATACTTCCCGTTTGCTTTCCAAGAAAACGATCCACTGAAAGAAAGCACCATGCTAAGAAAAGGTTTTGATCCTGAGTTTCTATATTATTACTATTGTTTCAGTCATTTACTTTTGAAATTTGCGGAAAGGAAGACCTACTAGTGGATTGAGAAATGAAGTTTAAGGCATATCTGACGGATAATGGGGTAAATCTCCTGGAGAAGAGATTTCTACCTGCCCTAGACAAGATGGGAAAAATATGCCATCTCTATTTGACTAGAGAATATGTTATCTTCCTGCATAACCTCCTTAATGGTGATGGAATTCAATCAATTGCTCAGTTTCGTAAAGAAGCTCTGTTTGATGATTATCGAATCTCCAGCCAGAATGATGACCGTATTGCGTTTACCGTAGACATTTCGCTTCTCCACCGTGCAGTTCGTAGTAGTGTTAGCATTTGTTCCGAGTTTGGTAATGGTCCAACAGCGAATCGACTCCAAATTAAGTTGGTGAAGAAGTTGCCTCTGAATTGCACTCAGTCAATGCCTTTCCTTACATTTGAGACTAAAGGTTACAAATCTGCTGTCATTCAGGATGTACCGATCTCAAAGCCTATGTCAAGAGGTCAAGTTCTTGAACTTCAAACTGCTCTAGATATGGCACAGGATTTGCCTCAGACGCTTGTGCAGTTTCCTGATCTTAACCAGTTGCAGAACTTTGTGGATCGAATGAAGAATGTTGGGGATTTGCTGAATGTCTCCATAAGCAAGTATGGAGATTTACATGTGCAGATTTCCACAACGTTGATCACTCTTGGTGCTGAGTATCGAAAGTTATTCGTTATAGGGGAACAAGCAAATGCTCCAGCTGAAGATCAGAATCTAAGTGCTCAGACTAGATCAACCAGAGCAATATTGAGGGGGGATGCTCAATCTGTACAGGTGAGTGTGAAGCACTTTGCCAAGAGTCTTCAGTATCACTTGGCCAAGCCAGATTGCACTTTCTATGGCATTGCTCCTCAGGGCGCATGCTTGACTGTGATATTTCAGTTCTTCATTCCCGGCTCTCGGCAGACTGATAAATCAATCAGTCTACATTGCCGGCTTCCTGTTCTTGACCCTGGAACGAGTTGAATTCTGATTACCTTCTCTCATTTGACGTTATGAATCTATGTTAATGCCAAATGTAAGACATCTTGAATTTTTTTTCTGTAGTCAGTTGGAAATGTTTGAGTTCTTTTCTTGAATACAAATACTTTGAATACAAATACTTGTGAATTTCGATCTCAGTAAACAGCTAGAAATAGACTAGAGAGGGAGGGCGGAGGTTGTCGATTCAAGAATTCAACGCCATCACCAGTAATCTTTACACGAACATAAACCATGTTTGAAATGGTGGAATCTGGTTCTGTCCCTAACAATTACTTCCCTATGATACACCTTTGAGATCAACTTTGCTAGACTGTGACAGTCCAGGCACATTCTAAGGTTCTTCACAATTCTAATTGTGACCCCAGGCGGTGAATTAATGAGTCCAAAAGCAATGGCCAGCTTCTCACTGTGACGAAAGACTGAATTCTCTTTATCCTCTTCTGCTATATCAAGGAACACTTCTGAGGTATCAGGTGAATACCCTGCAAATTTCAGGTCTTGGGTCATTTTTTCTAGCTTAACATCAATTTCTTTGGTTTGAGGGTGTGACCGGTCCCCAGCTACGAATTCGTGAACTGTGCCGTTCATCTCTATCAAACTGCAACCAGGTATTTTCTTGATTCCTTTGTCCATCATCATCTGTCTCAGGTCTCGCAGGTCATTCCATCTCTTGCAAGCTGCATATATATTACACAGGAGAACATAGACTGCACCGTTCTCAGGCTCCAACTCGAGAATCTGCTTTGCAACCATTTCGGCCATATCGGCTTCTCTATGAGCTCTACAACCAGCTAGAAGAGCCCCCCAGACAATTGAATTGGGTTCTATTGGCATGTTCTTGATAACTTCATGGGCTTCTTTTAGATGACCAGCTCTAGCAAGAAGATCAACCAGACAACCGTAGTGTGTTATATTGGGTTCAATACCATGTTGGGTTGTCATGCTAAGGAAAAACTCTCGTCCTTTATCGACCATGCCGGTGTGAGTACAGGCAGCAAGAACTCCAATGTAAGTAACATCATCTGGCAAAATTGAAGCTTCTAGCATTTTAGAAAACATATCAAGAGCTTTCTCACCGTGGCCATTAACTGCAAGGCCAACTATCATGGCTGTCCAGGTAAACTTGTCTCTCTGGTGCATCTCTCTGAATACTCTTTCTGCTTTGTCAACATTTCCACACTTGAAGTACATGTCTATTAAAGCATTTCTAAAAAATGCATCATTATTGATCTTGTTCCGATCGATATAAGTCTTTATCCATTCTCCTAATTCCAGGGCCCCTAGCTGTGCACAAGCAGTAAGAATACTGACCATAGTGAACTCATCAGGCTTTACACTGATTGCTTGCATATGGCGGAATAGCTCGAATGCTTCCTTGAATCGGTTCATGCGGAGGTATCCATCAATCATGGCAGTCCAGGAAAAACACAGTCTTTCTCAGGCATTTGGTCGAAGTAGTTCCGAGCAACATCAATCTCTCCCAAGTTGGTAAACCCAGATACAATGGTCGTCCAAGATATGATATCCTTGTTGTTCATATTTCTGAAAATCTCAAGGGCAGAATCCATTTCCCCACAAGCAGCATACATATCAATCAGAGCATTTTCAAGAACCAAATTGCTCTCAACCTTGCAGTTGTTCACACAACTACGAACGTGCTTCCCAGTTTTGAAATCCTTCAATTTGGAGCAAGCTGAAAGGATTAAAACAAGGGTCACCGTGGTGGGGCAGCACTTGTCTTTCCTCCATACCAAGAAAAAGTCTTCTTGATTCCTCAAGCTTCCCAACTTTATTGTAAGCAGCAATCATCATATTCCAAGAAATCACATCAGCCTTAGAACCAGCATCCAAGACCCCACGAGCCATGTCCAGTAGGCCACACAAAAGATACATTTGTACCAAAGCAGTGTGAACAAAGACATTAGACAGCAGCCCATGCTTCAGAACATGGCCATGAAGCTCACTTCCACATTGCAATGAAATGTCTCTTGTAAATCCCTTGAACAGAAAAGGGAAGGTGTAATTATCAGGCTTAACACCTCTCCTCAACATTTCCAGGTACAAAGAAACTCCAAGCTCAGGAGAATCCAACCGGAGTAGCCTCTGATCATGGTGTTCCAGATGAACAAATTCGGTTCAGGCATTTCATCAAACAGGTGAGGAGCATATTTCAAGTCGCCGCATTCGTAGGTACAACAAATGGCCATTACTCTGTTTTGAAGAACTGGGTTGGGAGTGAGACCTGTTTTGATTGCTCGACAGTCAATTTGCTGAAGCTGGTCCATGGATTCACAGATCTCGAGAAGAGAGATTAGAGGGTGGGTGGTTGAAGAGAGGGGCTTTGAAGCTGTGCAGGCTATGGTGGCCATTTGCTTCAATTTTGTGAACATGTCGATGATGCAGCAGAGTCCTGAAAGGCACCGGGGATGGCATGTGCCACGTTTCTTACTAATTTATTTCTTTTAATAAATTTTAAAATTAGCCGGTGTTTTTTTTTTTTTTTAATTTAGAAACTTGAATTATATTTTTCATTTTCTAAACTTTATTTCATTTATTGATCATTATATTAGGTAAATTAGAAAATTTTATTGAGCAATTTAGTTGCAATAATTTAAAAATTAAAACAATTTAATTATTATTAGGTTAAAAATAATTTTGATTCCAGAATTTCGAAGTAATAATATAAATTAATGATTTAGTAATTTTAGTTTAAAAGTTCCAACTCATCCTCAAAATCTGATAAAATTCTCTTAAATAATTTAATTTGTATAACAAAATTATTATGGGTTAATTATGAGAGTTTTATTAAATTTAAAAATTATTTATGAATTTTATTTATTTATTATTATTATTATTATTATTATTTTATAGAAGCGGAAACAATTTCCCTCATTTTCTTCATCATTGGGAGAAAGTTGTAAAAAAAACCACCCAGAGGCAGCGGTCAAAGCCTATTCCCGATTCCGAGTACGGAAAGGATTCCGGAGGCAACCTCGGGGGGTTGCATGAAAATTTGGCGCCAATTCGATTCTCAGGCGACCTTAGGCTGCGGAGCCACTCTGTAACAACAAATTCATAGGAAATGAATCTTTACGCTCACGACCTGTCTGTGTTGGATTATAATTTTGGCTTCTCCGAACCGTACGGCGAGCCCTTCTCTCGCCATACCGTTCCCTCCGCTATTTCTTCAACTGCCTTCCTCAATGAAGACGACGACGTTTACCGTCCTAGCTGGGCTGCAAGGAATAATCGCGAAATGCCCGGCGGCAGTCCCCCCAATCGCCGGCATGACGGATCGTCGCCTCTTCCACTGGGAATGGACTGGAGTCCCCCTCCTCAGAAATGGGTATTGGGTTTTTCTTTTTTCTTTTTTTAATTCTTTTGGGTGTTGCCTTTATTATTCATAGCTTTGGTTTTTGAATTATGAGTATGGTCCTGAATTACATAGTTGTATCTTCGTTAAAATTCCGCCGTTGGGGTTTTTATTAGTTCGGTGGTAGTTTCAATATGATTGGAGCTGATTGTTTTCTTCCCATAGGCCGTGTATAAACATTGTGGATTAGGTGATAATGTCTTTATTTAGTTGTTCATGAATTTCATACTGGGGCTCTTGCAAAAGCTAAATATCTTCGACATCCAACCGCATTGCTGTTTGCTATCTAAAATGATGTTATTAGGATGTTGATTGACGCTGCTCGGCTTTTGTGCGCGATCTTAGTTGGGGGACTTGGGGTTTGTGCTGTGAGAACTTCCTAAAAATGATATATCGTCCACGGACCATGGCTTGTTATAGTCAGGGCTTTGAGTTTGATTTGATATGCCCTATTCAGAGGGTTTTGGTTCAATTCTTTGTTATCTATATACATTTTTTAAGACGTAAGAAGTAGTTGTACGTGTAATCATGGAAGATTAGCTGTTTTTCTTCTCTCTATGAGATTCCACATTGGTTGGAGATGGGAACGAAACATTCTTTACAAGGGTGTGGAAACCTCTCCCTAGCAGACGCGCTTTAAAAACCTTGAGTGAAAGTCTAAAAGGGAATGCCCAAAGAGGACAATATCTGCTAGCGGTGGGCTTGGGCTGTTACACTCTCTCTCAAACGTAGTTCTGCCCGCCCAGGATGGAAGAATTTGTTTCAAGTTTAGGATTTAAATGGTAGCTTTCCTTGTGTTTGTTCGACGATACTATGAACTAGTTTTGGTTGGAAATAATCCTTAAGTTTCTAATGATAGTAGCGCAGATTGTGTTGGGCCCTGCTGGCACTCTATCAAATTACTTTTGCGTTTATTGTCTTTTTATATTTACTAATTGGAAAGTATTATTCTGGGCTCTTAGCTCCTTCATGCCCAGGAGTGTTTTCTTATTATATCATTGAAACGTTTAATGTTCCTTTATAAAAAAAAGGATGGACAGGGTACGGTGTGGCCTCACGATCCGCCCACTGGATGGAGTTACTGTGTCACGATTCCTTCATGGACTACAATTCCGAAATCAAATGGTTCAGAACCTGTGGTGGTAATTTCCATGTTTCTGTTGTTTGTCTTTGAATGCAGAAATGATAATCATTGTTATACGCCGTTTTTTTTTTAAAAAAAGATAGATATATATGTAAATTGCTTGAAGAAGTTGGGCGTTCTTGCTCCGAACATGGCTGTGTTGCTCAATATTTAAAGAAGCTTTATGATTTCTATCTTATGCTTTACAAAATTTACAGTTTTACACGGTTCAAGTTGGATTGCAATCTCCAGAAGGTAACTCTTCTACAAGAGAAATATCAAGAAGATTTAACGAGTTTCTAGAGCTATTTTACGAGGTAACATTTATTATATTCTGTTTCTTAAAATTGTTACTGTTCCTCGTCATGTACTACTGATATTAGTTTTAGGCGTTACTGTAATTTATAAAAACAGATTCATCTTTAACCATGTTTTTAATCTATCTGTTCTCTTCATTATGTTTTGTAGCTCAAAAAAGTATTGCCTAAGAAACAATTGCCTCCAGCTCCCCCAAAAAAGGTTCTGAGAATCAAAAACAGCGCGTTTTATGATGAGGTAAGTAATAAATGAATCTTAAGGTTCAATTATTATTATTATTATTATTATTTATTTTATTCCTGAAGGCGAAAACTGTTTAATCAAGTATGAACGATGTACAACGTATGACCGACAATTGTGCATGATAAATATGACGACTTATCAAATCAAGGAACCGAGAATATTCTAAAATGCCTATATTATTTCATTGCAGCGGAAGTCTTCCTTGGAGGAATGGATGGAAAAGATGCTGTCAGACATCGACGTATCAAGAAGTGTTCCAGTGGCAAATTTTCTTGAACTCGAAGCTGCCGTGAGATCATGTAGGTGTCATATGGATGCACGTTTGCTGACATATGGAAAAGGAAGTTTAGAAATAAAAACTTGAATAACCACAAATGATTTACGTGAACATGTTAGACATGTTCGGTCAATTATGATCGTCTATTAACGTTATGTTAACCAGTAGCTGACTCGTTGCGTTTTAATTTTTCAGTTTTCAGTGATGTTAATCACCAGATATCGGAGGAGGTTTCTTCTAATATTACGCTAAGAAGCTCAACTATTTCTATTGCTGCTGCTTCTTCTGTTGCCTCCAGTCCACATGATGATGCGTGTTATGTGGAACCTGAACTTGTAGCTCCAAGGCATGGAGATAACGAGGGCGTAGAATTGGAAATCGATAAACCTGCGCTGGAAAAAGCTCGAACGGACATGGAAAATCTTGTTGTAAGATCGAACCAAGAAGTGTCTGAGAAACAATTCCTTGCAACCAAGGTGTGGGTGATTTGATTGTGGGCCATTTATTTGCTTTAGTTTTTCCTCTTTTTTGGTCATAAATCTCTTATTTACTTCTTTTGATCTCATCGTCGGGTTTCAAACGGCTAAGTAAACGCCTCGATCTTTTTCCAGGATGAACAAGTGCCCACAGAATCAACAATGATGTCAATTTTAGAGGAGAACAAAGTTTTGATGCAAGAGTTGGATGCTTCAAGAGAACAGCTCCAGTACTTGCAAAAACAATATGAAGAGTTTGTGATAAAATCAAAATCCGACGTCGAGTTTTTTGTCAAAGAAATTAAATCTCTTCGAGGTGCTCAGATAGACTTGAAGCAGGAGTGCAGCCAATTGATGGAAGAGAAATCAGGATTAGAGGTAAGTTTCTCCTTTTCACCATGTAGGTTCCTAATTTTATACTGTTAGCTGGTTAAAATTTAACACCGACCTTCTGTGTAACCTGTCTGCTAATTCGTGACGAATTTCGTGGTTCTTGCGGCGTAAGGCCTTTTAAATGGGAAATTATTTGAGCTTGGTTGCGAGTTTAATGTAGAATAGGGGAATCATATGTGCATCGAGTTGACGAATATAACTTAAACAGATATTTTCTACTCTATGAGAGGATCTTGCGGACATGAAGCTTTCCCAAAAAAGGTTCTAGTGATTTGCATTGCAATAGAAGACTGAATGTGAGATCCCACGTCGGTTGAAGAGGGGAACAAAGCATTCCTTATAAGGGTGTGGAAACCTCTCCCTAGTAGACACGTTTGAAAACTGTGAGACTGACGCTGATACGTAACGGACCAAAGTGGACAATATCTGTTAGTGGTGAGTTTTGGCTGTTACAAATGGTATCAGAGCCAGACACCGAGCGGTGTGCCACCAAAGACGCTGTACCCCAAGGGGGATGGATTGTGAGATCCCACGTCGGTCAGAGAGGGGAATGAAACATTTCTTATAAGGGTGTGGAAACCTCTCCCTAATAGACGCGTTCTAAAATCGTGAAGCTGACGGTGATACATAACGAACCAAAGCAGACAATATCTGCTAGTGGTGGGCTTGGGCTGTTACAAATGGTATCAGAGCCAGACACCGGGCGGTGTGCCAGCGAGGAAGTTGGACCTCCAAGGGGGGTGGATTGTGAGATCCCCACATTAGATGGAGAGGGGAACGAAACACTCCTTATAAGGGTGTGGAAACCTCTTCCTAGTAGACTCGTTTTAAAACCGTGAGACTGATTACGATACGTAACAGGCCAAAACGGACAATATCTACTAGTAGTGGGCTTTGTCTGTTATACTAGACGATGCTTCCTCTATAGATTTTGAGGAGTAAAAGAAGCAACGAAACGATAGAGGACCAATGCAAGCATAGATAAAGGAATTATTGGTAGCTTTTGGGTGTCCAATGTCAATGACTGAGATGCAAACTGTTTCGATGATCTCATAAGCTTATTTTGGTTTAGTTTCCCCCTCCCTTTGTATGTAATGTGTATTTGCCCTCTCTGATAACATGTAGTATTTGCTCTGTTTTCTTTAGAGGCTACTTCAAACTGAAAA